CTGCTGGTTTCACTTGCGCCTGCCACCACACCCAGCTACCGGTTGAGAGGCGGTCTTGCGAGCCTTTAGTCCCGGGCTGTCCCCCAAAATTTGACCCACCCAATCTCAGCTTCCCAAGTCACTAGGACAACAGGTGTGAGTCACGACATGCCTCTTGGTTTAGTTGTTCTGAGTTGTTATGTAACCAGCCCTCCTCCCGAAGGAGGAGACTTGGCTGATAACTGCGAAGCCCTTGTCTTAGATTAACTTTAATGTTGCCACTGTGAATCGCGTGTACAACCCGCGTGTCAGTAGTGGTTAAGACGGATTTGACTCCTAAATCCTTTACACTCTGCTAAGGCTGTCATCTTGACCAAGGTGTTCCTGAGGCTTTAGAGGGCAGGAAACGGGGAAGGCCTACCAACAGCTGCCCACTAGTCTTGTTGCTTTGCTGTGACTCAGGAATTTACTGAAGCAGTGTTTACTGCATCTGTACTGCCTGCACTAGGACCTCGGACTTAAGCGGGGGACTACTTAGGTTTGAATCCAGGCTCTGTAGTTTGGGTTCAGTACTCACCTGACTTTGTATTAGGTATCACGCTTCTTGCTCTTCAGGTTTTTCACTGGTAAAATGGAAATCTAGAATACTTACTTCATGGGAAGGGGTTGTGAAGTTCCCACACAATTGTCTGCGGAAAGAGCTTGATCCCCTGGCTGTAATCTTATTGTATGGATAAAGTAACCAAAAGATGGACCTGGATCTCCGGAAACACATGGTTTAAAAGAAATAGGCTATAGGTACAAATGCATGTAATAGAAATGGAGAGATGGGCGTGGTGGTTCATGCCTGTCATCCTAGCTACTCAGGAAGCTGACATCTGAGGATCATGGTGGGAGGCTGGATCAGGCAGTAAAGTCTGTGAGACATTGATGTCAGTTAACTACTCAAAGAGGCTGGAAGTGGAATTGTGGCTCAGGTGACAGAGCACCAGCCTAGAGCAAAAGAGCTCAGACATGAGTTTGAGCCTAAGATTGGCGCGCGTGCGTGCGCGCGCACACACACACACACACACGCACACACATCTACAGGTCAGACAGAGAATGGGAAATGAAGAGACAAAGCAGACAACCACCATGCATCCATTTCCTGTGCATTTGGAGAGGCTACCCAGTGGAATGAAGTAGACTTTGGGTGTGGCGGAGGATTTTGCAGCCGCTGTCTAAATCAAAGGTATCACTTTTTTGTCTGTTGTGGGCCTTGAACTCTGGGCCTGGGCGCTGTCCCTCAGCTCTTCGGCTCAAGGCTGGTGCTCTACCACTTGAGCCACAGCGCCACTTCTAGTTTTCTGGTGGCTCATAGGAGTCTCATGGACTTTCTTGCCAGGGCTGGCTTTGAACCGTGATTCTCAGATCTCAGCCTCCTGAGCAGCTGGGATGACAGGTGTGAGCCACTAAAGACAGGCATCTGTAGCTATCTGACGGAGGGGCGGATTCTTTATTTGGCATCTGAAATGACAAGGAATAGGAAAAGTACGGTTAAGGATGACCTGTAGGAAGGAGGAAAGGAAGACGATCCTGTCCCTTAGAGATTCACAGCCCACGGGAGAAGACAGCGGATGAGCATTTGCAGTGAACTGTGCACTGTGCCTTCGGGTCTGACTGGTGACACACTGGCCATGCTGTGCTCCCGGGGCCGTGCTGTGTGCTGTGCTCCCCGTGCTGTGTGCTGTGCTCCCCGGCCGTGCTGTGTGCTGTGCTCCCGGGGCCGTGCTGTGTGCTGTGCTCCCGGGGCCGTGCTGTGTGCTGTGCTCCCCGGCTGTGCTGTGTGCTGTGCTCCCGGGACCGTGCTGTGCTCCCGGGGCCGTGCTGTGTGCTGTGCTCCCGGGCCGTGCTGTGTGCTGTGCTCCCGGGGCCGTGCTGTGTGCTGTGCTCCCGGGGCCGTGCTGTGTGCTGTGCTCCCGGGGCCGTGCTGTGTGCTGTGCTCCCCGTGCTGTGTGCTGTGCTCCCCGTGCTGTGTGCTGTGCTCCCCGGCCGTGCTGTGTGCTGTGCTCCCCGGCCGTGCTGTGTGCTGTGCTCCCCGTGCTGTGCTCCCGGGGCCGTGCTGTGTGCTGTGCTCCCAGGGCCGTGCTGTGTGTTGTGCTCCCCGTGCTGTGTGCTGTGCTCCCCGTGCTGTGTGCTGGGCTCCCCGGCCGTGCTGTGTGCTGTGCTCCCCGTGCTGTGTGCTGTGCTCCCCGGCTGAGCTGTGTGCTGTGCTCCCCGTGCTGTGTGCTGTGCTCCTGGGGCCGTGCTGTGTGCTGTGCTCCCCGTGCTGTGTGCTGTGCTCCCCGTGCTGTGTGCTGTGCTCCCTGGCCGTGCTGTGTGCTGTGCTCCCCGGCCGAGCTGTGTGCTATGCTCCCCGTGCTGTGTGCTGTGCTCCCCGGCCGAGCTGTGTGCTGTGCTCCCCGTGCTGTGAGCTGTGCTCCCTGTGCTGTGCTGTGCTCCCCGGCCGAGCTGTGTGCTGTGCTCCCCGGCCGTGCTGTGTGCTGTGCTCCCCGTGCTGTGTGCTGTGCTCCCCGTGCTGTGTGCTGTGCTCCCTGTGCTGTGTGCTGTGCTCCCTGTGCTGTGCTGTGCTCCCCGGCCGAGCTGTGTGCTGTGCTCCCCGTGCTGTGTGCTGTGCTCCCCGTGCTGTGTGCTGTGCTCCCCGTGCTGTGTGCTGTGCTCCCTGTGCTGTGCTGTACTCCCCGGCCGTGCTGTGTGCTGTGCTCCCCGTGCTGTGTGCTGTGCTCCCCGGGCCGCAGGAGGTGAGAGGCTTCGCCATAGCTCGGGGTTTCTGGGGCGCGGGGCCCAATGCGGCGGGCGGAGGTTTGGGGCGCAGTGGAGCGTTAAGGGGGACGGGCGCCCCTGTTCTTTTCTATCCTGCAGGCCCCCAGGGCCTGCGGTTCCCCACCCCGCCCCCCTCAGCCCCGGTCCCCCCCCTCGCCCCCGCCCCCGGCCCCCCTCGGCCCCGATCCCTGGCTCCCCCCCCGCCCTCCTGCCCCCCCCCGCCCTCCTGCCCCCCGCCCCCCCTCCCCGGCACCCTCGCCCCCCCCGCCCCCATCCCCCCGCCCTCCCGCCCCCCCCACCCCCATCCCCCCCCGTCCCCGCCCCCGCTGACGCCGTCTCTTCCTCCTGAAGCCCGCGGTCTCCCGGCGGCCTCGGGACAGCGCAGCGCAGGGGCGGGGAGGTCCGGGAAGCGGGGTGCGGGGGGCGAGGGGGGAGCTCGGCCCGCACCCGGCACCCGGCGGGGTCTGGGAGCTGCGGGACCCACGGGGCGGGGCGGGGCTCGTGGCCGGGAGGGGCGGGGCTCGGGCCGGGGCTCGTGGCCGGGGGGCGGGGCGGGCGCAGTCCGGGCGGGGCTCGGGGCCGGGGGGCGGGGCTCGGGGCCGGGGGGCGGGGCTCGGGGCCGGGGGGCGGGGCTCGGGGCCGGGGGGCGGGGCTCGGGGCCGTCGCGGGGGGGGGGGGGGGGGGGGGTTGAGGTCCGGCGCGTTCCGGGCGGGGGAAACCGACGGTTGGAAAATAAAAAATTAAGAAAGTTCCAGCGCACCCCGTAGAGTCCCAAGCCGGGTCCGCGCGGCGGGGCGCGGGACGCCGCCCCCTCCCCCTCCTCCCCCTCCCCTTCCTCTCCCCCTCCCCCTCCCCCTCCTCCCACATCTTTTTTTCCCTTCGCAGCTGGACGATGCTCTGCGGCGGACTGGAGCCGCGCATGTGGTCTTAATTGTGCAGGGGGGAGGAGGGAGGAAGTTATGATCCCATCTCCTTCCCTAACCCTCCCTCAGTGACCTCCGTCGCCCCCTTCACGGAGTTTGCCGGGGCTCGGGAGTCCGGCCAGGGCCGGCCCTCCCCCTTCCCCTACCCCCCCCTACCCCCCCCCCCCCCCCCCCCCCCCCCCGTCGCTCCACACCGGGCCGCTCGCCCTGAAAGATGAACAGATGACTTTTCCCGGGCGGAGCGGTCGGGAGCGGAGCCCCATCTCCCGTTCCCTCGCCCTCTCTCGCTCTCTTTTTCTTCTCTTCCGTCCCGCAACGAATCTCGAAAGAACGACTCCGCTGAGGAGAGCGAGGACCTGGCCCTGGGGTTTGGAGCGACCCCCCGTTGATGACGCTTCCACCCCCCCTCCCCCTCCTCCCCCTCACCCCCCCTCAGGCTTCCAGAAGGGACGGTTTCCAAGGAGAACTACAACTCCCAGGAGGCAACAGGCTGAAGCCCCGCCCTCTCCCCGGGGCATCACGGACGTCGTAGGCGCCTGGCCTCCATGCCCCTTTCACAGCCCCCCGCCCGTAAACTACAATTCCCAGAGAGCCTCGGGCCCGACGCGCCTGCGCAGCAGGGCCCCCCCGAGCGCGGCGGGAGGGGGTGGGGCCGCCCCGGGGCGGCGGGGGGCGGGGTCCGAGCGGGCTGTGTGGAGGTTTCAGACTCCGGCGCCATTTAAAGCGGAGAGTTTTCCCGGGCGGACGCGGCTGTGCTCTTCCTCGGCCGCCGCCGCCGCCGCCGCGCCTCCCCGTCTTCGCTGACAGGAGGTGCCTAGCGGGGTGACTGCTCTCTTCCCTGCCCTCCCCTCCTCCCCGGCCCTCCTCCGGGTCTCCGCGGCCCTCCCCTCCCCGCGGCTCCCTCCCCCGGCCCCCCGGCGCCGGCCCGGGCGGGCCGCGGCTCCCCGCTCCCCCCGCCCCGCCGGGGCCGGCCGGGCCCCCGCCCCCCGCCCCCCCCCCCGGCGTCCCGCGTCCCGCCCCGGGGCCGGCTCCATGCGCGCGGGCCCGCCGCCGCCGCCGCCGCCCCGGCCCGGCCGGCCGCCGCTCGCCGCGGGATGGACGCGGAGCGGGCGGCGCTGACGCCCGCGGGCCCGGCGCCCCGCGCCCCCGCCGCCGCCGCCGCCCTCGGGGCGCCCGGCCGGCGCTGAGCGGGCCCCGCCCGGCCCCTCCGCCCCGCGCCCCCCCCGCCCCGCCGCCCCTCCGCGAGTCCCAGCCCGCCCGCTCCGCTCTCTCCACTCCAGCGGACCGGACCCGGCCATGTCCGGCGGCGCCGCCGCGGACGGGCCCCGCGGCTCCCCGGCCTTCCTGTCGCCGCCGCCGCCGCCGCCCGCGCCCAAGAACGGCTCCAGCTCCGACTCGTCGGTGGGCGACAAGCTGGGGGCCGCGGCCAGCGAGGCGGGCCCGGGCCGCGCCGACGAGTACCGGCGCCGCCGCCACACGATGGACAAGGACAGCCGGGGGGCGGCCGCCGCCGCCGCCACCCCCACCGAGCACCGCTTCTTCCGCCGCAGCGTCATCTGCGACTCGAACGCCACGGCGCTGGAGCTGCCGGGGCTCCCGATCCCCGCGCCGCAGCCCGGCGGGGCCGTGCCCGCCGCGGGGCCGCCCGCCGCCGCCGCGGAGCCCGCCCGGGAGGAGCCGGCCCGCGCCGCGGCCGCCGCCGCCCCGGTGACCCGGCCGCCCCCGGCCGCCGCCGCCGCCGCCGCGCCCGCCGCGCCGGGCCCCGCCGCCGCCCCCGGCCCCGCCGCCGCGCCGCCGGCCCCCGGCCCCGAGCGTCCCGCCTCCCGGCCCGGCGCGGCGGGGAGCAGGGAGGAGCCGCCGCCGCCCGTCCGCAGCGGCAGCGGCAGCGGCGGCGGCAGCGGCGGCGCCCGGGAGGCGGCGGCGGCGGCGGCCGCGGCGGCGGCGGCGGCGGCGGCGGCCGAGGAGCAGCGGAGCCAGCAGCAGGACGACATCGAGGAGCTGGAGACGAAGGCCGTGGGCATGTCCAACGACGGCCGCTTCCTCAAGTTCGACATCGAGATCGGCCGCGGCTCCTTCAAGACCGTCTACAAGGGCCTGGACACGGAGACCACGGTGGAGGTGGCCTGGTGCGAGCTGCAGGTAACGCCCCTGCGCCCCAGCGTCCGGCCGTCCCGCGCCCGGCCCCGGCTCCAGCCGCCGCCCACACTTGCACACCAGGGCGGACGGACGGACGGACGGACGGACGGACGGACGGACGGACGGCCTTGCGGGCGGGGCAGTGTCCACTGAGGACCGGACCCCGGCCCGGCCGGGCAGGGGAGACGGAAAGCCAGGGGGAGAGGGGAGGAAGGCAGACAGACAGACAGACACGAGGTCAGCAGCGCGGCTCAAGGGGTGGAGCGCCGGAGCAGCACGTCTGAGTTCAAGCCCAGAATCTCCGAGGAGGGAGGGAGGGAGGGAGCAGGGAGCGCTCTCGCGCGCGAGTGTCTTGGGACGGGTCGTGTGTCGGCTGTCAGTGTGTCCGGCCGGGCCTGAGCCGGCTGGGTGCCGCAGTGTGCCCTGGCCGCGTCCCCGCCGCGGGGCCGTCCTCCGAGGGGGGCTCCCGCCGCCCGGGCCGGGGCCGGGCCTTCGCCTCCGGCCGCGGGCACGTGGCGGTGGGTCGGCCCTGCCCGCCTGCCCGGGACGCCCGCGCCCGAGCACGGAGACGGCAAATGCCTGGCCAGTTCCTGCCGGGAGAAGGGATGAGCCCAGACCGGATAGGGAAGTCAGGCGCTGGCCGCCGTGACCTAGGAACCAGTAAGTTCACGCTTAACCCTCGGGTGGGCAGCCTGGAGCGGAGGCAGAGGCCGGAGGCCCCGCGTCCCCCCCCCGCCGCCCGCGCCTCCCGCGCCGCCCGCGCCTCCCGCACCGTCCCTGACGCCGGCGAACTCTGTGTTTTTTTCTTTAAAAAAGTACAAAAGGAAGTTAGCCTGCGGAGCTAGGCCGAAAGCCAAGTACTCAGTAGGTGTTTTACATGAGACTGCCCAGATGCAGAGGTGAAATCTCACGCGTTCTCCCTGCCGCCGCTGAGGTTGGCCCTGGCTGGGCAGGAGCGGTACCCCTGGGGCCACACCCTTAGCCTGACCGGCTTTTCTTTAACCTGTCAAACCATGTTGACGCCTATTGGTCAGTCAAGGTAAAAAACTTGGATGTACAGGTGACAGTGTAGGGCTGACACATTACTTTTTTTGAACCAAGGAAGTATTGAGTACTTTATGAATTAATTTTGTCCGCTGCAGTTGTTTTACTTTCGAGCTTTTTCAGGATGTTATGTGTGTTCTCTTGATCTTCTGGAACTTTCTAATAATTTATTGTCTTGGGACTAATAATACAATGGAAAAAGCTCAAGTTATCTAATGTCACAATTAGAACTTAGTCTGTTTCCAATTTTTTTTTAAAGCTGGTGTCATTAACGTGTATTAATTGTACAAAGTGGGGGTGCATTGTGCTGCTCATGTACACAGAATGTAGTTTTTTTACTCTTTTTATTTTTTTGATTTGACCTCCTACTCTTATCCTCCTCGCTGAAACTTCCCATTGTTTTTGACTTAGGTTTTTTGTTTTTTTGTTGTTGTTGTTTTTGGCTAGTCCTGGGGTGAACTTAGGGCCTGGGCACTGTCCTGAGCTTCATTGGCTCAAGGCTGGTGCTCTATCACTTGAGCCACAGCACCACTTCCTGCTTTTTCTGTTTATGTGGTGCTGAGGAACCCAGTGCTTCATGCATGCTAGGCAAGCGCTCTACCACTAGGCCACATTCCCTGTCCTTAGGCTTAGGTTTTGGTTTTTTTTGTGTGTGTGTGTGTCATTTATGGGGCCTGGGTGCTGACCCTGAGCTCCTCAGTTCAAGGTAAGCGCTCTACCACTTGAGCCACAGCGCCACTTCTGGTTTTCTGGTGGTTTATTGGAGATAAGAGTCTCACGGAGTTTCCTGTCTGGGCTGGCTTTGAACTGCTATCCTCAGATCTTAGCCTCCTGAGTAGCCAGGGTTACAGGCATAAGCCACCAGTGCTCGGTTTGTTTCTGACCTTTTAAAAAAGATTTAGATTCTGCATACAAGGAAACATGGCAATATTTTTTAGTCTGTTCTGCATACAAGGAAACATGGCAATATTTTTTAGTCTGGTTTTGCTTAGACATTTCCAGTTCTGTTGTGTTTTTTGATAAATGATAAATAATTCCTTTTTCTTTTTTTGCCGATGTTGGGGCTTGAACTCAGAGCCTGGGCACTGTCTGAGCCTCTCTGTGCTCAAGGCTAGCACTCTACCACTTGAGCCATAGCCACCACTTCTGGCTTTTTCTGTGTATATGGTACTGAGGTCAAACTCGGGGCTAGGCAAGCACTCTACTATTAAGCCACATTCCCAGCCCTATAATATCATTCTTGTTTATGGCTGACTAATATTTTCATCTGTTGATGGCAAGTTATGGCTGATTCAATAACTTAGCTATTGTGAATAGTGCTGCAATAAACGTGGGTGTGCATGTATCTGCCTTGTTCACTGATTGATACGCCCAAGAGTGGATAACAGGATTGTAGCATACTTCCATTTTTAGTTTTTGCGGAGCTCTTGGTGGCTGGACTAGTTTACATTCCCAGCCACAATGTGTAAGAGTCCCCTCCTCCGGTGGCTGGGTCTGGCGATCATTGTGTTCTTGAAAACAGTCGTTGTGACTGGTCAGATAGAATCTTACTGTTCTGATTTGCTTTTCCTTATGGTTAAAGATGTTGAACATTTTTTGTTTTTCTTTTCTCTTTTTTGAACACTTGACATTTTTTATTGGTATTTGTACTTTTGAAAATTGTTCAGTTCACTTGCTGTTTATTAACTGGGTTACTTGTTCCTTTGGTGTTTCGTTCTTTGAACTCTTCATGAATTTAGGATATGAACCCTTTGTCGTAGGAACAGTAAGGATCTTCTCCATTCCGTAGACTCTCTTTTCTCTGGTAATTATTTCCTTTGATATGCAGAATGACCTCAGTTTTAGAAATTACAACAGTTTGGATTCCCTGGACTCTTCCTGTTGGCTGTGTAGGTCTGGGCATGGTCAAACGGAGGAGACTCTTACATTGAAGAGTATTTTAAAGCCAGCTTACCATGTGGCTGCAGAGCCACACTCACTGTGTGGTGCCCTGGTTTAGAAACTTCAGTGGCTTTTGTCCATGCTTATACAAAATTTTCATTGTAGTTTGAAAAATGTGATTGTAAAAATTTTTTTTTAGGCCAGGCCTACTCAGGAGGCTGAGGATCACGGCTCAAAGCCATCCCGGGCAGAAAAGTCCATGAGACTCTTATCTCCAATTAATCACTAGAAAACCGGAAGTGGTCTTCAAGCGGTAGATTGCTGGCCTTGAGCTGAAAAGTGCAGGGATAATGCCCAAGCCCAGAGTTCAAGCCCCACAACCAACCAAAAAAAAAATGTGATTATTGTAGCTCAAGGATTCTTTGTAGCAATAGTTGGGGCATTATATTTATTTATTTTTGACCAGGACATTTTCAGTACACTGAAATTTTGTCTTTGGATCTAAATTAAAGGCCAAGACTAAAAATTACTAAAGCTTTATGACAGGGGAGGGGGGAATCCTCTTCACTGAATGTATTCCTTCATTTTTTGGTGGTACCTGGGTTTGAGCCCAGGGCTTTGTGATTGCTAGATAGGTACTCTGCCACTTGAGACAGGCCTAACCCCCTTTTGTTCAGTAATTTTCAAGTAGGTTTGTCATGTTACTGCCAGGGAAATATCATGCCTTGGACCAGATCCTCCTTCTTAGACTCCTAAATTGCTGGAGTTACAGGCAATGGATCATCACCCTTGCCCAGCGTGTTGAGATGAGATCTCTCTAACTTTTTGCCTGGGCTGGCTGTTGATCCTCAAAAGCTGAGATTACAAATAGGCACCACTATGACTAGCCCTCGTGAGAATGTGTGTGTGTGTGTAAATATATACACACTTGCACATACATTATTTCTTTTTTCCTTTTTATGCCAGTCTTAGTGCTTGATCTCAGGACCTGGATGCTGTCCCTGGGCTTTCTTGCCCAAGACTAGTGCTCTGCCACTTGAGCCACAGCTCCACTTCTGGCTTTTTGTTGGTTAATTGGAGGTGAGTCTCACAGACTTTACCGCCTTGGCTGGCTTCAATCTCCATTCTCATATCTCACCCTCCTGAGTAGTTAGAATTACAGGCATAAGCCACCAGTCACTGGTTTTTGAATGTATATTTTAATATACATATTTCTCTATAGCAAGACAGGAGAAGTGAGTTCACTTGTTGAATTACAAATTTTGGGGTTTTTTTTTGTTGAGGGAAGGGTGTTACATACCAGGTTGGCCTTGAACTTCTGCCTCCACTTTCCTGGTGCTAGAATTTCAGGTATGTGCCATCATACCCTGCTTAAAAGATCTTCACATTGCCCGCAGCCCAAGGCTTGCTTGTAATTTTAGCTATTTAAGAGGCTGAAATCTGAAGCCTCTTTTGAAGCCAGCCCAGGCAGAAAAGTCTGTGAGAACTCTTACTTCCAATTAAGTACCAAAAAAGCCATAACTGGAGCTGTGGCTCAAATGGTAGAACCCTAGCCTTGAATAAACTCAGGGACAGTGCCCAAGCCCTAAGTTCAAGCCCCAGGGACCAGCACACACGAACAAATCTTAATATTAAAATTAGGAGAGGGCTGGGAAGGTGGCTCAGTGGTAGAGCGCTTGCCTTGCATGCAAGAGGCCCTGGGTTCGATTCCTCAGCACCACATAAGCAAAAAGAAAAAAGCTGGAAGTGGCGCTGTGGCTCAAGTGGTAGAGAGCTAGTCTTGAGCTGAAGAGCTGAGGGACAGCGCCCAGGCCCAGAGTTCAGGCCCCATGACCGACCCAAAAAAAAATAAAAATAAATAAATAAAATTAGGAGAAACCTTACGTTATCTTTCCCAATTGCTTGTTTGATGCATAAAGAACTGTAACTCATAGAGCATAAACATAACTTGCTTAGGTTGGTAAAAAACAAAATGTGAAGTGAGTAGATCTAAGTTTTCAGAGCAGTTGTATTCCAGTAGATGGCTAGTTAGTAATATTTCAAGTGAAGCAGTAGTATTCTGGTGTAGTGGGTGTCTC